CTCAGGGGTGGGCGCGGCGCCCGCGTCCCGGTCTGGCGGCTCGGCTCTCCTGGGAGGCCCCGCTCGCCCGCGCCTGCTCTTGGACGTGCTTCATGACAATTGCGTTGTGCATCTTTAATGTGAGAGAGACTATTATCACATCTTAAAAGAATTATTAGGTGAGAACAGTGTAAAAGACCAGGGGTTGACTTTTTGTTTTTTAATAGGCGACATTTTGTTCAAAATTATTTTTGTCAACAGGATGATCAGCCGTCTGGAGTAAAGTGAATTGCTGAAAACCTCCCTCTCCTCCAAACACACAAATGACTCCGTTATTTGTATATAGATCCCGGGCCTCAAGTCAGGCCTGGTGCGAGGAGCTCGCTCCCTTTCCGTCGGCCTTGTGGCTGTCAGGTGGCCGTCCCAGCAGCAGCGTCAGAACCTCCCAGATCCAGGCGTGCTCCGTTCCTCCCAGACAGGAAGGACACAGAAGCTCCGGGATTCCCTGCAGACTGCAGGCCAAGAAGCCAGACAGAAAGCTCCCGGGTCGCACGATTCCACTCACATGACACGCCCAGAACCGGCGAACCCACAGAAACAGGAAGCAGATTGGTGGTTTCCAGGAGCTTGAGGGGGGGCGGGAAACGACAGCAGACAGGGACAGGGTTTCCTCTGGGGGTGACAGAACTGTTCTGGGACTAGATGGTGGTGATAGTCATGATGGCTGCACAGCACTGTGAATGTTCCAGAATGAGACAGAGGTGCTAAGTGTCGCAAGGGGCCAATTTTATTTTATGCTTGTTTTGACCACAAAAAAAAGTTAAAGCAAAAACTTAAAGCAAGGTGAGACTGGATTTTTGTGAGTGGCGACGCCTAGTGGGTGATGCAAAAGTCAGGGACGAGATGACCACCCACGCCAAGAACGTGATCCCTCAGCGTGATTAGGGTGCACGTGGACGCGCTTCTAAGCGGCTAAAAGAATTTTACTACGAGATCTGGATGATTCCAAAAACAAACGAAGAGAGAAAAACATTCCAGCAAGCTGAGGCACGAGGCGGTGATGTCTCCTTGCTCGTTGCCTGTTTTCAGCATCCGTGCATTTAGTGCCACCTCGTCCCGGGAAAGATTAGAGGAGCCAAGCACACAAGCGCATCAGGGTGGCTCTGATCTTACCTGTCAGCAAACTCCTACCCTACACTGTCAGGCAAATAAAGGGGCACCTTTTCCACAAGTGCCCAGGGTCCTAGTGAGACCGAGACCTGTGACCTCCGTCACTGGAAAACCAGAGATTAGCTCTCACTGTCCCTCAGTGTTTGTTTTAAATACTCCTTTACTGTGAGCCAGGTTCTGATGACTCCTTAGATGTGAAGGTGAGTCTTAACGGAGGTGAGGAAAGCATGTGTTATTAAGGAGAGGTGATCTTATTTGCACTTCTGAAGTTTTTAGGGCAGGAATCGCCTTGAGCCATCCGTCAAGAGGAACAGGCCGAGTCTGGGTGGTACAAGTCTTACGGCCAATTCAACTGAAATAATAACGTGCTGACGTAAGAGTTTCCAGAGTGACAGGAAACCTCTGTGCATAAACTTTGTGTCCGGTGCACAGACGCTAAGGGACGGGGAGGAGAGAACACAGACAGTGCTGCTGGGGCAGAGCAGACACAACGCGTGGCCAGGGGGCCACGAGGCGGCATCTGGTCGTTCTCTAGAAACACTCGGCCCGCACGTCCGGGAGGATGGAATGGGCGTGTGTTCCATCTTCCCCCGCAAATACCTCTGGAAACCCCGCGAGCAGGAGTGAGCCAGACAGGGAAGGACACTGAGAGGAGGGGCGGAGGCTGCCCAGCTCGGGACCCCAGGAAAACCAGGCGTGGGGTGTCAGGGCTCTTCCTTGTCCTCATACCCCAAACTGCAAGCTGGCGGAGCCGGCAGCCCAGAAAGGGACGCGGACTCAGACCCGAGAAGCCCAAGCCTGCTCTCCAGCCGGAGGGCCGGGGACCGAGCAGCTGCAGAAACTGCTCACTAAAGGAGTCTGGGAAGTGGGCTGGGATGTTTGATTCTGAGAAATCTTCGGGGGACTGGAAATGTCTTGCATTGAAAGTGAAGGTTCTTATTTTATTTTAAAACTGGATTCTGTTTCTCTGTGACTCGGGGTTAGAGGGAACCAACAAAAGAGGAAACAGGAAATCTTGATCAGAATCTTCTAGAAGGAATGCTGAAGAAATAGGGGGCATTCCTGTGACACTGAGGTCACTCTGGGTCCTGGAAGGCAGTGTGAAGGCGTGGCACCCACTCGCCAAATTCCCCCAGGGCAGAGTTAAGGTCTCCTTGCTGCACGTGCTCCAGCCACCTCAGGACCACAGGTGAGGGGTCACGGAGGCCCAGCTGTCAGGCCAGGTTGAACCAGATCCCACGGGCACTGAGCGTAAGCAGATCTCACAGACGTGTGGGGCCCCGCAGACGCAGCAGCGCAGAGCGAGGTCCGCTGCCCCCCGGGTCCTCCCACCTCGCCTTCAAGACATCCTAGTCTGTTGAGCAAACTCCCCATGTCCACCTGTGCAACTGTGTGTGTGTAGTTATTAATCACGGTCCAGCTGCAAACTGGCTGGTGGCACAGATGACCGTGGAGGCAGCAAAGGATGCTCTTCTGGGCCTCTTGGTTCCTCAGCAGGGAGGACAGTCTGGGGGGGGTGGGTGAAAGATGTCAGGTAAGCCACCTCTCCACGTCCTGTCAAGATGCTAATGTCCCAAGCAGAGTAATGTTGCTTTGTTTGTTTGTTTAGCACCTTTATTGTGGTCTGGTTCCTGCACAGTAAACTACACAGATTCCAGATGTACAACTTGATGAATTTTGATAGCTGCACACACCCATGAAGCCACCACCACGATCAAAACAGCCAGCGCTTCCATCACCCCCCAAGATGCGCAGTTTTTGAATTCCCAGTTTATCCCTCCTCACCCCTTTCCGCCCTTGGTAACTACAAGTTTGTTTTCTATGTCTGTGACTTTGCTTCTTTTTTGTAGATAAGTTCATTTGTGTCCTTTTTTTTGGATTCCACATATAAGCGATGTCATGATCCAGCAATCCCACTCCTGGGGTATAGCCAGAGAAAAACACAATTCAGAAAGACACATGCACCCCAGTGTTCAATACCAAGACAGAAACAACCCAAATGTCCATCGACAGATGACTGGATAAAGATGTGATTTTTGTGTACAATGGAATCCTACTCAGCCATAAAAAAGAATGAAATAATGCCATTTGCAGCAACATGGATGGACTGGAGATCGTCATTCTAAGTGAAGGAAGCCAGAAAGAGAAAGAAAAATACCATATGAGATCACTCACATGTGGGATCTAAAAACAAAAAAAGAAGACGAAAAGGACACTATGAACTCCTCTACAAAACAGAAACAGACTCGCAGACATAGTAAGCAATCTTACGGCTACCAGGGAAAGGGCGTGGGAACGGATAAGTTTGGGAGTTTGAGATTTACAAATGTTAGCCATTATCTATAAAAGTAGATTTTTTTAAAAAGCAAGTTTCTTCTGTATAGCACAGGGAGCTACGTTCAATATCTTGTAGTAACCTTTAATGAAAATGAATATATGTGTATGCATATATATAAACACATGACGGGGACACTGTGCTGTACACCAGAAACTGACACCTTGTAACTGACTGCACTTCAATTAAAAAAAAAAAGGTGGCCAGAAACCAATGAAAAATAATAAAAGAAAATATCCCAGCTTCCCAAAGGCCACACCATAAACTCAACCCAGATTTACTGCTTTGCGTCAAGTGTCTTTGACTGAGAAAGTAGCAAAGAAGGAAGACAAGGTGATCGCGTTTCTGGTGTCGTCTCCCACAATTCATCAGAGACTTGGAGTGCAGCACCTGGAGCTTCCCTGCTCTAAAGCAAACTCTACAACAGCCAGACCCTTCCCGTGGAGGGCGGGCTTCTGAGCTCAGGGGAGGGGAGGTGGGCGGGGAGGGGAGAGGCTGCTCCAGGCTTTCATCCCTGATGTGTCGTGTGCTCCTGGTATCACTGACTTTCTGATCTTCTGTCCTTAAAGCTGTGTCTAAGGGGGAGGGTACGGCTCAGTGGTAGAGCACGTGTTTAGCATGCACAAGGTCCTAGGTTCAATCCCCAGGACCTCCATTAAAAATGAATAAATAAACCTAATTATCTGCCCCCCTCCAAATAAATAAAAATAAAATTGTGTCCACACACTCTTATCATATATGTGTCCTGTTTCCTTCAAGTCAGGTGTGTCCTTCTGAGAGCAGGTACTGTCCTTACAAATAACCCTGCAGCCCTGTGGCGGGCACTGAGCCCAGACCCGGCGGGCGTCTGGAAATCCACCAAGTACCAGAGCTCAGACTAAGAGACAGACAGAGAATCATCCTGCCGCCTCAGGAGTGTCCTAGCTAACTCCTTGCACCATAGACTTGCAAGTCCACACGGTGAGTGCGGGTCAGACTTGTTAGCGCTGCCCTTAATCCGCTAGAAAGTACCCCCCACTCACGTCCTCAGGGTGTTTGCAAGGCTTCATGCCGGCGTCTGGCCTATAACTTTGATGATTCAACGATTTGGATGCATTTGCAGGAGACAGACTGCAGACCGGCCAGTAAAGCCCAGCCTCCCCCGCAATCTCTGCAGCCCCCTCACAGCCCCCTCGCAGCCCCGCCACCCAGACGTGGAAGCCGGACCATGCATCCAGCCGTGCTGCCGCGGGGTGAGAATACGGATCCGAAGTCTGGGAGGAGGCGGGATGGGCTCTACGTCATCAGCCACCCGACACCTGGATGGGGCATCTCTGAGGTCCTGTGAGCTGGTTCCGAGGTCAGAGAGCTGGGTCCAAATCCCGGTCTGGGCTCACCAGCCACATGGCCACCGACGGGCTTGGTAACAGACCCATCTCTGGGTCATCATAGTCAGCAGGGGTGGAAAGCCCCGGCCAGCCCACGAAATCCCCAGGAAGCGCCCTCTGCAGGGTCAGCCAATGTCTGCAGACCAGACCCGCTGGACTCCAGTGGGCATCCTGCTCCGTTGGGTTCTGTTACTCACTGTCTATGGGAAGTGCAGTTGGTTAGAGAGAGCAAGTCCCCGGCCTCCTGGAGGGGCAGGTGGCCAGTGCCCCAGTGACACGCACGGGGCTCTATAAAGGATGCTATGTGGAAGCAGACAGCAGCCTTCGATACCCGAGTGCCCGGCTGCTGCCCACGTGCACGGAGCCCCCGAGCTCCTCTTGGTCTCCAGGCGCCAGAGCTCGGAGACTCTCAGCCCCTCCCGCAGCTCCAGGCTCTGCCTTGTCAGCACGTCGATCTGGGCCTGGAGCTTGCTGGGAGCGGCTGCGCAGCAAGCGTCCTGTCTCCTGACCTTCTCCCGGAGCCCGGAGATGTGCAGCTGCAGCCGCTGTGCCGAGGAGAGAGCACAAAGGTCAGAGGCCACGGCCGGGCCGGGCCGGAGCCTGGCCTGCAAACGCAGCCCGCAGCGGGTGGGCTCGACAGAACCAGAGAGCTTTGTCCATCTCTGCTAAGCCGGGTCCATCAGGAACCACTCCCGTGCTAGGGCCCCTGGGCGGGGGGTGCCTGGGGGCTTTTGTGGAAACAGAGCAGAGAGAAACGGACCCTCTCCCAAGGCGTCAGGCGTGGATGCTGACAGAGTTCTGGAATTTGATGAGACTATTTCTGATTTTTTTTAACAGCGTGTTTGCATTCTTGTGCCCTCTCTTGTATCAGGGAAGTTAAGCTGAGACCTGTGGCTCCGCTCAGCCATCGGGACATTAAGCTGCGGGGTGAGAACCCCTTGTGGAAGGAAGCAGAACACTGGAGCCGAGACAAAGCTCTGTTGAAACAGTCCTGCGGGAAGAGGAGGCGGGGCAGGCCTAGTGCCAGGTCCCCTGGGCACCGTCGTGTTAACGGCCGGTGACTCTAAGTCGACCCCACCCACCAGCACCTTCTTGGCCCTGCCGCCGTCTCGGGGTCCGGCCCGGCCCTGCCATCCTCTGCGTGGCCCGTCTCCGCTGGCTCCTTGGCGTCCCGAGGCGGCAGAAGAAGGCCTGTCAGGAGCCAGCCCGAGGCGGGGAGGGGTGCAGGCTGCCCCCTCCCCTGCAAGATGGGACACCTCATCACAGCCGGTCCCACCCTACTCAGCGCTTACAAAACTGACCCACAGAAAGGCCATCTCAGTGTCTGGAAACCACGGAACAAAGAGGCCTGAGTGGGCCACGCGTGGTCTCCCCTTGGTGACCTGAAGAAAACGCTTCAATTCATAGAAAGTCAGCATAACGCATACGCATAACCGACTGGCTGGTGGCACAGCCTCGGACGTGGTCGGGGCCGTCTCGGAGGGAACCTTAGGAGCTCTCGGCTCTGTGATCAGCACCAGCTGAGTAGACACCTGCCTGAAAAACCAAAACGGACCGTCCGTCTGCAGCGTTGAATGGACACTTTTCTAACACCCGCAGCAGGCGAAGCTTGGGGACCGGGGACCACCTCGCGGGCCCAGCCCCTGGAGAGGCGGACGTGCTGTGCCCCTGCTCCAGACGCCTTCCCCGAACAGCTCGAAAAGGTGATTTTCCGGCTCTCGAGCTCTGGGCTTCCAACGAGAGACATTTGTCAGCACACAGCCTGTGTGTGCGTGAAGGTCCAGGAGGGAAGACGTCGGGGAGGACGGCGCTCCCGCCGTTCCCGGAGCTCAGGCAACTGGAAACAAAACGAACCAGGAAAACAAAGTTCCCTGAGTGCGCGAGGCGTCCTCCTGAAGCCCGGCCCCAGCTGCCGGCCCCTCCTTTCTATCTGAAGGGAACCGGGGTCTTTATCAAGATGAGAATTAAGGCTGAGTCAGGACGAAGTCAGCGGCTCTCATAAGACAGAGAACTTGCGGGAGGGGGCAGGTTTATGAACACAGACTTGAACTCAGGTGTGATGGCCCTTGTGTATAAACAGAAATGTGTTTATTCATAAACCTCGCACTTTCTATAAACATAAGAATGAGAAGGTGGATTAGGAGTTTGGGATTAACAGATACACGTTCTTACACATAGAACAGGTGTCCAGCACAGGGAACTATACTCACTTCCTTGTAATGAGCCGTAATGGAACCGAATCTGCAAACACACACGTCTGTATGCATACGTGTGCCTGAATCACTGCGCTGTGCGCCCGAGACTAACACTGTAAGTCCACCACACTTCAGTGAAAAACAAGAACTTTTTAAAAAGGGATATTTCAACCCTGGTAGGAAAAAACTGAGAGGTGAAAACGTTTGTTTCCTGACGAAAGATAATCATCAGACGTATCAACAGCAAAGACCAGCGAGTGACCTCGTCGCTCCGTCCTTCCTGTCTCACTTGGGTTTTACTGACGTTTCATTTGGAAGTTGGCTTGAGTTTATCATTCTGTAACCCTGAAAAAGGCACTTCCTTCCAATTTCTTTAACATCTCGGCCTCCTCGGCCCCAAACTCAGTCTTGGGAAGACCCCTTCTCTCAGCCACAAGCGGACTCGTCACCTCCCCAAGTCCAAGGCGGCCACCAGGCTGGGATCCTGATCTTCTCGGCCATGGGAGTGCTGCTCCTGACCTGCCCACCCCATCTCGGAAAACCAGAAAACCGTGGATCGATTCTAAACTGTCTCCCAGTCTTAAAGGGACACGCCCTCTTCACACATCACACACACTAGCCAGCTTATGGTTTCACAAACTTAAATGACAATTAAAAATTTTCAAATGTGTCATTTGAATGTAGTAAGTGCAAAGTCAGTGGAATATGTCACCTACGCAAGGAACTGAAGATGTCAGAATTCCCCATCCCAAATGACTCCAAAAAATGTGTTTACTATCAAGCTTTCAGTGTGCAGTATGCAGTAAGAACCTCTTTGCAGGTGTTCTTGAAGACATAAAGCTGTCCTTTGATAGCAAAACATGTGATTCACTAGCAGAAATACTTTTGAGGAGAAAGTGAGAAATGCGAGTTTAAGCAGGAGAACCGATCCAAATGTCTTCATTCCACAAAGCGCCTCCTCTCCTTCTAAATTGTGGCAATGATGCAGGAGAGTCGAGGCTCGGGGCTGAACGTTGGTCCCCCTTACCGGCAGCCCGAATGTGCAGTGATGAATAATGAAACGTTGAGGCGTCGGCAGAAGGGGCCTGCTGCACCTGCATGCCGTCCACCCAGCACAGGAAGTGGTCCTGGCCCCGGGCGGCCGCCAGGCTGCGGGTCGGGCTCCAGCTGCTTCAGGGTAGAGGATCTGCTCCCCAGATGTCCGGTACCCAGCACTTGCTCTGGTTCCAAGTTCACATTCTCCTTGGAGCAGCCTTTGTTCACCAGGGTGGCCGAGTGCCCAGGGCTCTGGACCGTCCTGCTGATGGTCTCGTTGTGTGCCCTCCATCTCTGTAATCCACAGGGCTGCTGGCCTGGTGGAGAGTCCCGCAGGACAGCTCCAGCCTCAGGACAGTGAGCATCAGTGTCTTGAATGCAGGAAATTTTGTAGGTGGTTCCAAGTTACTCACATTATGAGACAGTGAAAAGCCCTTTTCCGCTCCAGACGCAGCTTCACAGCCTCTTAGGCTGTGCTGTTCCTAAAACAGCTGCCGCGGTCCATAGGCAGCATACGTGACAGCTCGTCTGTGCTTTGCGATCGAAGCTCAATAAGGACATGCAGTTTTGAAATAAGAATGACTGATGCTTAGGATTAATGAGTATATTTAATTCCCTATAAATGTGAGCAGCATAAATCTTCGCTGTGCGCGCTCTTCAACACAAGGGGAATCTAAAGGCATGAACACCCGGACCCACGAGGCTCGCTCCCCGGGGAGCCCAGGCGTGTGCTGCGGGATTAGGCAGGGGTCCGGGCTGAAGGCGGGGCAGCAGGTGGGAGGCTGGTTAGACACAGGGATGTATCGACAGAAAAGAACACCGTTTCCTGGTCGGGAAGCTGTGTGACGTTTCCACTTTCCAGGAACAGACGCGTGTACCTTCATTCCTGTTGTCTCATCTCCCTGGTGTTGCATCCGGGGGAGTAGGAAGTCCTCCTCACAGTCACACGACACTCTCCTTCAATTTCCTGAGGTTTCTTCCACAGTCAGTATCATTTTAGTTTCTTCTATCAAAAAATTAATAGAAACAATGTTAGGGTTTATGGTAAAATATGTCACAGAGTCTCAATTAAGTACAGATAAATATATAGTTTGCCCTCAAACCTCCCACGGGGGAGCCTCGCCCACATGCGTGGGACTTTCCGGAATCACACAGTGTCACAGTGGGTGAGCCGTGACTCATGGGGTGACGTGAGACCCCCACCTCCTAGTCCCTCCCAGCAACCAGCCCCGAGCACACAGGAACCTTCTTATTTCTTATCGTTTCCAAGCACATTGCAAAGTAAATGAATCGGAGTGCACTAGGGATGTGATCTGTGCCAGGATGCTGGGCTGAGTCCCGGACGGTGATGTGGCGGGGGAGTGGAGCTTGGTATTTGCAGAGGAAGCTCCAGGCGGCTTTCTTCATAGCACACGCTGCTTTGTCTCCAGCAGAACCCAAAACGCAGCCTCCTGCCCTCTGGCCTCCACGCGGGACAGTATCCCGCCAGCTCAGCTCTGTGCTGTGGGCTTGTCCCGGAGCCTGCGGTCCAGCCTCCACTTTGTGGCAAAAAGCAAAAAAACACAGCGGCCTCTCCTGACCATCCCCAACAAGCATGGACAAGACAGACCCGCTGAAACACAAGGGGACTTAGAACCACCTCAGGGGGGTGGGAGTGGGGGACAGACATCAACACGTGGACGTGGACCCCACAGCATGCCGTCCCAGAGCAGAAGTGCACCTTGCGTCCCAGGGTAACTTTCAGAGCGGATTCAAGTACAACCTTCCATGATTCAGAGGTGAGTTTTACGGTGGTGACCCTGGACCCAGAACACAGCCTGACCTCATGCTGAAAGCTTTAGTGGGGCTCTTTCCCAACTCAGACACTTTAAAGAAAAGAAGTTCTCATCTCAAAAGTGCTGGCCTGTGGGGCAGGGACCAGGGGCCCAGAGAGCAGCAGTTCCCAGCTGGGGTCTGAGAGGGTCGCCACAGACAGAGGAGGAGAGCCGATGGAGGTGAGACTCCGAGTTAAATGAGACGAAGTTCCTGGGGGTCGGGGAGGTGCTGCCCCTGGCACTGCAGACGGGGATGGGGGGTGCAGCAGCACAAGGGGACCAGGAGGCTTAGGCTCTGGGGCGCTGAGCGCTGTGGGAAGTGTGTTCTCAACAGTGTAGATGGTGGCCAGGAGTTCCAGGAAAGTGCAGGGAGATAAACATGGTTCTAAGAGCTCACTTTGCTCTAAACAGCTCTGATTCTGTGATTTAGTAGAAAGACCATTTGTGGCTGCCAAGTAAAAACTGGCACTTGCCACCTGCCCCTCCAAGGATTGGATCCCCCTGGCGCTTACCATCTCCCCCTGCTGGGATTGAATCACGACCTCCAACACCGCCGGGGAGAGGCCAGGGCGGGGCCAGGAAGGAGGCGCTCTGTGCTCTGGGGAAACTGGCAGAACAGGCCTTCGGAGAGTCAGATCTTTTCAGGAGATTTCATCAGCCCAAATTCTCCCATCTCCTCCTCTCTAGAGAAGCACTAAAACCATTGACAGTGACGTCTGCTCCTGGTGACAAACAGCAGCCTCTGCCTGAACGTGTGCTTGGCAGCACGTCCCCCCTTCACTGAAGCCATACATACCCTGAGCCCCCCGCCTGTTCGGAGCGGCTCCTCAGAGCTGTCTGAGACGCCGTCTCCCGGGCTAGAGCCCTCATTTTGCCCCCAGTAAAACTTAACCCACAACTCTCGGGTTGTGTGGTTTTATTTCAGGTGACATGACTGAGGATGCCCAATGGGAAAAGAGTTTGAAAGCACACTCGTAACTGCGCCTGACCAGGCAATTCCTTAAGCGGAACGATCTGACCAGATCATGATGTAGCATTCCTCAGATATGCTGGAGGACAGCCAGTCCACTGCAGCCAAGATGTCCTAGTTGGGGTATAATTTTAAATGTTCTCCTGATTCCTCAACTCCACTGATGGTCCAGGTTGAGGAGCCCCTTTGGTCCTGAATGGGGTCGTCTGGGAACACCCGCTCTTCTTCTTTTTCTGTTGTGGGACTTTGGCATATTGGGCAGATCCTGCCTGTCCTCAGTGTCCCCCGCCTGCCTTCGGAGTACCAGGTTAAGGGCCTCCTTCCCCCTGGGCCCCCCAGACTGTGAGGACTTCAAGGTGAATGTGGCTTCAGTTTCTGTTTGAGGCAGATAAGTAAAGAATACTTGGTCAGTCAAGTGTGGTTCTCATTCAAAGTTGCCCTCACCTCCAAGCTCTGTGGGAATCTACCAGCCCCCACCCACAAGAGCACCTGCCTGCCCAGCATCGCAGCAGGGGGGCCAGCCAGCCTTTCGTAACCACAAGCCTGAGAAACAGGAAAAGGAGGGCCTATCCCTGAAACTCACACTCCAGCAGCCTGAGTACAGGTCCCAGAGCTAAAGGGAGATGGGGTGAGCCCAGTGGGGACCAGGCTAGAGAGGCTTATCTCAGGGTGCAGACAGAGGGACCTTCCTCGACGGAACATGCCTCCCAGTAACCCCTGCTGCACATGCAGCACAGAGGTGTGGACAGCAGCATGCAGGTCCCTGTGGAAAGCTGCCGCCCCCAGGCGGTCCCCCGGGGATGGGCCTTTGCTGTGTCTGTCCCCCGGGGATGTCTGCTTACTTGTGCTGTGATGTCACATGATGGGACAGAAAACAAAGGGCAGAATGAAGTTTTTTAAACAAAATTCAAAGGATTCAAAGATGAACTTATCATGTGCTACATTTGAGACTTTATTTGCCACTTGTCCCCTTCCATGGATCTTTCTAATTCTGCATCAGGATGAGATTGTTTTCATTTTTATAACCTAAGAGCACATAGTAATGTCTAATTTTAAAAATGTTCTTGAAGGCGGGAGGGTACAGCTCAGTGGTGGAGTGTGTGCTTAGCATGCACGAGGTCCTGGGTTCAATCCCCAGTGCCTCCGTTAAATAAATAAACAAACCTAATCCCCCTCCAAAGAATTCTTTTTTTTTGATGCTCTTGGATAATTCGACCCATTCTTCCAAAA